TCTCTGTGAGTTCCTGGTTAAAAGAGCCGGGAATAGCTTTCAACAGCTTTCACCACTTAACCAACAGACATACACATTCACACGTTAATTTGCTTCATGTTTTGACTATTGGCAGAGCCAGCTGCAAAGCTGGTGAGAGAGAGACGTCTCGGTTGACGTTTCTGTGTAGTATGGGGCTAGCCCAACCAAGGTTTTATAATGTATAGGCCAATTGAGGTTCAGGGTCTTTCATCTTACATCTGCCTGCGAGCATTTGGAGGTGCAAGATACCTGAGCGTGTAATGTTAATTTTTACCTGTGATCCTTTGAATAAATCAGCACTGTTTTGTAGTTACTTGGACTGTCTCGTCTCTCAGAGTTAGCATGGTAGCAAGGACTGGGTCCTATACACTCTTGTGTGTTTGTGAAACCATGCTGCAATGATCCATATAACCTTCTGCCTCTGCAGATACAGCAGTCACATCTACCAGACACACTGATTTCACATCGGAGATGATCGATTCATCATCATTCCTCCTCGCATGATTCACTCTCAGGCGGCTCGTGCTGCCTTCTCTTGCTCCCGTGTTTAATTCTCTGCAAAGTATTTAAGGATGACTTAGACTTTCACCAACCTCATGATCACTTTCTCCCTCTTCAGCCGTTGCTGAAATCCCAGCACTGCAGAGCCGCAGGGGCATTAAATCAGCTGTCTGAGCAGCTGTCACTTCTGGCCCCACTGAGGCCATCATCTGTCAGGCAACTTGAAGACAGGGGAGTCTAGGACTGCACCTGGCTTTTTGTTTTAGTCTGTGATTATACATGTATGTGTGAGAGTATTCTTAAAAACATTGTCTCATTTTGGGCAATATGTATCATGTTGTTGTTTTATAATTAAAACATAATATAGTCGAAATAAGGAGCAGGTCTTGAAAGCCAGAAGAGGGGAGCACTTGTTGAAGTATTTGCAGAAATCAGCTTCTTCACACTTCGGTGATTAAAGTAATTGCATCAGGTTGATCATCTCTAAATCTCCAGTATTTATGAGCTTTACCACATTTTCAATGAAGAACTTTCTATAATAATTGTCATTATATTAAGGGTAACACTTTATCTTAACTATTTTATGCACATAAAGGACATTTTAAGTGATTTGTTCATCTATTTATCAACAGCTAGCATCTGTAACTGCCCTATAAATAAATAGATGACTGACATAAATAATAAGAAGGAAATCACATGTCCTCATATGTTTATATTTATGAATACTTTCTTTTTATCTTTGCGCCATCTGGGTGACTCCACATGGGAATACCATACACAACAATGTCACAACATATGCATCTTTTTGGTGACATATATACAAAAGACTAAGAGCAAAAAAGTTACTACATTATATAAATAGTTCTGTATTATTTCAAATAGCATATTTATATGGAAAAACAATTCAAATCACCTGCTTGTACCAAGTGTGTTTGCAAATACATTTATACATAAAATACTT